TAGAAATAATATGAGTATCGAGAATTGAAATAAACTCTGTAATAAAGATTTTGTAGAATGTTTTGGTCTACCTGAACTTAGAAAACATTTTTTATGTCTATCCCATTTTTACAAGCAAGAATATAATAAAGAGAATGCAATAGAAGAATTGAAGGTCAAAGATCTTATATAATGGGAAGATACATACTATAATGCTAAAGATAATTTCGAGGATTCTGTAACAAAAGATTTATACAAAACATATTTAGCAAATCATTGGGATGTTGTATGAGGACTTTTACATTTGCTTAGTTTTATAGATATAGATAATAAACGTATTCTTTCTAACAATCAGATAAAAATTGCGTTTAAGGTATTTCGTGAAAAATTTATAGAAATTTGAAGTCAAGCTTTATTGCTCTTTGGCCTTAGGTCTCATGCAAAAGAAATACCAGATCTTAACTCAGCTATAAAGGCAATCAATACAATTGTTGGCAATTGGTGTGGCTATACTATAAAAAGTAAACAGAAATTGGTAGAATCTAAAGGACAACAAATTTGGAAGTATTCATATCAAATTAACTGAAATCCATATAATAGTTGTGATTTTAATAATCAAGAAAAAGTAATAGCTAGGAAGTTAGATGATCCTGAATATTTCCCTATAAATCCAATTCTTCCATCATATAAATCAAAAATAAATAATGAAATTCAGGATCTTTTCAATTCTGTATCTATTACTAATAACACTAATTCAGATTATATAGAGTATAAAGTTTCTGATTTATCTAGTAATATGATTGATAAAAAAGTTTTATCTTTAAAAATACCAGCCCATAATCAATCTGCTGGTTTTTTCAAGATAGATGCTATATTGATACTACTATTAGGAAAGTCAACACAGTTGAAAAAAAATACCTGAATCCTTGACCACTCTATTTTCAATATTTCTCATTAAAAATAAATCTAATGTGGATATGCTTGTCTTTTATCTACAACAAAAATTCCAAATGTCAAAAGAAAAATTAGAACAATGGTGAGCTAAGATTGCTGTTGAAATGTAGGATAACTATAATTATTGAAAAAAAAAGTACGAGAGCATGGATAAGATCACTTTCTTAGAATATAAATGCAATTTTGAGGCTAAATGAAAGTTTCTACTATTTCGCACAAAAAAGAATTGAAAAATAAATCTTTAGCAATCATTGAATATGTATAATGGTTATAAAACAAAGTAGATACAAGATATCAAGATAATATTATCTAATTAAGTAATAATTTCTGAAGGAGAGAGATTGCTACATTTAACTAGTCATTCATCTTGGGTAGGAGGGTTTTTGTCGCCTCTTACAATGAGTATGCAGAAAAATTCAAATAAAAAATTAATACTTTGATATCTAGATTATATAATGAGTTTTTGTATCATATAATTTTGGATGGATAACCAAATATTTATTAAAAAGGTTTTTGAGTTGCAGGTGAATTCAGGTGCAGATTTATATATCTGCTAAATAAAATTTCATGTAAGTGCTTCCGATATATAAAATAAGATAAGTGTTCACATTAAAAAAAAAAACATGTATATAATTTACTAAATAATCAATAATCATTTTTGTGTTATGCATTTTTTGATTAAAATGCAATTTCAAAAGCTATATACATCTGAATACGAACATGTGAGTGAACAAAATTATATAAAGTACATATTCGATCATTCCTCATCTCGATAACCATTTTTGATTGAGATAAAATTATGCTTTGGATGTTTATCAGTATAAAGATATAAATTATATAAGAAATAGTTTAAAAATTGTGAAACATAGTATATGTTAAGGTTATTAAAAAAGTAATATGTCAAGGTTATCAAAAAATAATACATCAAGATTATCAAAAAAGTAATACATCAAGGTTATCAAAAAAGTAATACGTCAAGATTATCAAAAAAGTAATATATCAAAGTTATCAAAAATATATACAAAAAGAATCAAATTTTTTAACATAAAACAAAATACTCGAAGACATTAACTATGCAAGAAAGAGTTCTAGAATCAAAAAAATATAGCAAACTTTTGGTAATATGTCAAAATATAATATTATAAGGAAAAAGGTAAAATAAATTGTGCTTTGACATATTATCAAATAAGTGATAACAATTCAGCACTACGTGCCTTATTATCAAGTAATATTTGAATGAATTATGTGAAGCTAATAACTACTAACAATCAGCATTATATGCCTTATTATCAAGTGATATTTGAATGAATTAAAATAGTTAACAATTTGACACTACGTATCTTATCATAGGATGCTTTGATGTATTATCAAATATGTTAACAATTCAGCATTATGTGTCTTATCCGTAATCAATATTCAAGTGTATTACAATAGTTAACAATTCGGCACTACGTGCCTCATCTTTGATCCACAAATGACGATATATGATTATATACATTATCAGATATATTTTTTTGTTTATATGACCTAACAATAGAAATCGAGCATAACTACTAAACTAGTATACATTATATGCATATGGTCTGATATACAAAATACACCATCTTGATGCATATTATAAAAAGCAAAATACATGTTACTCAAGTATGACCTAAAAGCAAAATGAGTGTCATGCTGGTGCATATTTCAGCAGTTTTCAATCGACAATATAAATATAATCTATATAGCACCCAATATGTAGATTATAACTATCACGAAAATATGTTGTGACAACAGAAATGTGACACCATCTTTCATGTCATGAAGACAGAAATGTGACATTGTCATCTATTGGAATAGTTATAGCCTGAATTAAGTGGTATAATTATAGTCTGTACAGACTATAATTATACCACTTTGGGTAATAAAAGATATATATTAGTAAAATTCCTTTAACTATGTATAACTATTGGAAGGTAATATATTAAAATAATATAGTTCAATTTCTACTAAATCATATAAAAACCTAGGGATCTATTATAATAAGTCATCTCTCTATTACAGATAGATAAAAAATCACTGTTCAAAGAAGGTTGAAATCAAGTATGTCCTAGAAATAAAGATATCCATTAGGTAATAAGTCTTTTCAGATAGTATACAAGAAAGAAATCAAGATCAAGAATATATAAGTTTATTAGACAGTTAGAAAAAGAAAAAATATTTCAATTGGATATTTTTTATTGAGAAGAAATCTTAAAAATTAGTACTAGTCAAAATTGTATTATTTGATAGCTAAATTATTGTCAAATTCAATTAAATTTACTAATAAAAATATTGTCAAATTCTTTTTGATTGCTGCTACTTGACATATTACTATTTTGACAATAAAGTGGTAATCAAAAATTCAGCAATCAAAAATTTGACAATCAAAAATTCGGTGACCAAAAATTCAACAATCAAAAAATTCAGCAATCAAAAATTTATTAATTAAAAGTTTTAACAATAAATTGTCAAAAAATTCATTAACAATTCATCAAATAATTCATTAATAATTCAACAAAAATTCATTAAAAGTTCATTACAAAATTATTTATTAATAATTCAATAAAAATTTGACATTAATTTATTAATAATTCACTAAAAATTCATTAACAATTTATCAACTATTCATTAAAAATTTGTCAACTATTCATCAAAACTATTCATTAAAAATTTATTAACAATTCATTAAAAATTCAACAACTATTCATTAAATTATTCATTAAAAGTTTATTGATCATTCATTAAAAATTCGATAACTATTTATCAAAAAATTTATAAAACTTGCAAAAAAAATCATTTATATTTATATATTATTTGATATTATTCTGATTAGGAAAAACTAATTAATCAATTCAAAAAATCTTTTATCATTAAAAAACTTTAAAATATTTTTCAATATATAAAATAATCACAAATAATTAATTTTTATTATTATTATAGAAATCAAAGATATTACTCGACTAATTTATAACTTTATGCATAGTAGATCGTTTCAAAAGTTTATTAATAAAATGGAGTTATCAAGTATATTTACAAGAGGATGGTTTGGATCGAGTAATTCGAATCTCATTGAAAAAAAAAAAGCATGCGTCAATACTTTCTTTCTAAGACCGAGGCCAATCATAATATCAACTATTTTTTATTCAAACAAAATAAACGTTGATTCAATAAATAAAAAAGTTTAAAGATATTTATCGCATATCTCGACTACCCATATACGTATATTAATTAGAACATCGGTGGCATAAAATGCCGTTGTAATTTAGTCCGCGTAAATAAGACATTTTTAACTAATTAATTAAGTACATGTACTTGCACATATTAAAGAAGGGATTTCTTAAAAGATTGGGATGAAATTCAAAGAAAAATTATTACCATTATTATTGTAATTGTGATGATAAATAAGGGAGAAAGAATCAGAAACAAAATACGTCAATTGCATTAGAAAGAGATCATGCATTCGTAAGAAAAATTAAGCCAAATGGGTGATGATGACAATACCATAAGCCCCGAAAGATAAAACCCGATGCATTTCGCATAAGTAAGTAAGTTATATCAGGTAATGATACCAATTATATTTGTTTATTTGTGTTGTACGTCCTATCCATATTAGTATAAAAATATCAAATTTACCAAAATAAAATAATCGAAACTAAAGTATCGAGTGTTGAAAAAATTTTTGAACATTTAGATTTGAATCGAATCATTCGAAGAGGGAAGGATATACGGGCCTTCATAGTCCGAAAAAGTACATCCATGCAAGAGAACGAGGATGCGTAAAACAGGCGTAGCAATTAATGGTTGATACAGTCGCTTATCTTTGATTTGTACTTTCGCACGTACGGTACATACGTATAAATTTTTTTTTTTTTTAATGTATTAATGTACTACAATGCATGACCCTATATGTGACCAATCTGATTTTAGGTTCCTGATCCGCAAATGATATCGTCATATGTTCTCTTCCGGTACCATATATTAATAGAATCCTCTTGATCTCGCAAGCTTCCACTTAACAATAATTCTTTCTTTCTAACACCAACATAATGGGTGAAGCCTTGGTTTATGAAGATACTCCTTTCGCCGACTATCTTTCTGGTAGGACATGAGATATTGTTCTTTTTAAAGAATTTTCCCTTTACATAATTTAATGCGACCATGCAACCACTACTTTTTAGAAATTGGTAGTAAGGAAGAACTAACCAAACAACCGGAGATTTACGAATTAGAAGCTTCACAAAGTGAAGGAAACTCTCAATCCAGATTCTCGCACCTCTTACACGAAGTTTTTGATTATCTTCATGTTCGTCTACTATTTTGTATAATTTTATCTTTCAATCAGAGAATTGCAATGGCTGCTAACTTCGCACTTTTTTTTTTTAGGAAACGTTGTCAACGGCACTTCCTCTGCAAGAAGAGAACGAGTTTGAAGAACGTTTCAAATATCTGCTATGCACTTCACATCTCTTAAACGACACCCTATCGATATACTTTTACGATAGCAGAAAACCAAACCCTATCGATAAAAAAGAAGCTGGACTGTATTTTGGAGGAATCTCACGGCGTAGTTTTGAGATCCTGTTGAGTTCATTGATCGGACTGACTGTGGTTTTCCTGACATGGTTGTTACGCGACAATGGTTCGAAGGATATCGGTACAAAGATGATGCAACTGCCTATCGTACTCGTCTTGGCTTTGTTAGCCTCATTTTTCTTATACCGCCGCATGGTAACAAAAAAGTTTGGAATTCATAATATTACGTGTCTCCTTTAATGTCTGCCTAATTTTTTTGAATGGTTTAATTATTAGCGACGAAAAGTTATGAAAACTCTTCATAACTCGGCCTTGCACTTTTTGGAGACCCTCGTCTATAATTGTCAAAATTTTGATCTTAAGGTTAACAAGGCATTGATAATGATCCAAGAGATTGAACTAGTTTCTCGCGGTTATAGATTGTATCCTCTTATATTGTAGATTAATATTTACAAACATCGTTTTTCATTTTTATTCTTGTTTTTCTTAACTGAACCGATCGACCGTTAACAACAGATCTATGCCTCTTTCTCCAATATCTCGCATCGAGCAAGGCTCAAAAAACCGACGTTGTGGCATGCTGCGGGAAACCGTGTATAATATACTTCAGGAGGCGTTCATAAGTTATAGCGAAGCCATATTATTGATGCAACCAGAAATCTCAAAAAGTAATTTAACCATCATGTATAATATGTATAACATCACTCCCTGTCCGGAAGGTGATGTATGGGACGTGGAGGATGAAAAAGAAAAATATACTCTTGAGAACCTGAAGCAATGTTTTCAGATGATGCACGCAAAACGAAGAGAATGTCTTTGTCACTTTCTTGCATTGGATGTAATGACTCCTGGAAGAGATTCTCATCGAAGAGATTACGAGTATCATTGGGCTGCAGTTAATGGTCATTTAGATAGAGCGGGTATAATAACTGGAAGTTATTTGGATAGAATTAACGTTGCTTCTGCTAGTGACTTGCGTAAGTAAGACTTAACATTCTCCCTCCTCATCAATCTTCTACTTATCTTACGAAAACTATGACATCATATCCAGACACTGTGCAAACGCCGAAGCAAGACATTTTGTTGCAACCAACACCTACGACGATCACGAACAAAAAACTTAAAGCCTACCTTCATCGCTTGGCTTCTATCGAACAGCATATTCGTTGTGTCCAGGCGAAATTGTACATCTGTAATGAGGATGCTCGCAAATATTTTGAAAATGATGGTATAATTGACCTTGACGTTATATTGTGATAACCATGTGACACATTATATTCAGAGATTTTATTATTTTTTGATAGAACGTATAGCTGAAGGAAATAGAGAACAACTGCTGAGTCAATATGAATCAATAACAAAAGATTTTACGTACATGTTCCAAGAATGGGAAGATGGAAAGAAAGCACTAAAAGATATAATAGAGCCATCATCCGCTGATTCTGATATGAGTTCTAGTCTTCCATCGCTTGATGGGGATACAGAAACCCTAAATGATTCGGATGAGAATGTTTCCGAAAAAGCGCTTACTATTGATTGGTCACAAATAGATGAACCTCTGGATGTACAAGAACAAGTTTTCGTGGCAGAAGTAGAGGCTGAACAAATAACGAAGGTGAGCACACGCTTTTCGAGTTTTGTTTAATTCGCGAGATTTTTTTTCTGATATTTTGATCGAGTCAGAAACCAACAAGAGAAGAAAGAATTGCAATCCAAAAGATTAAAAGAAATGAAGAGGTAAATTAAAGAGTTAATGTTATATCACTTAACGTTCATAAAAACATGCTCACAAAATGATTTATCCAGGCGAAAGCAAGGGCAGCAAAGGCTGACTCGGAACGGATGGTGCATGAATTAAAGGATGTGTTGTTGGTACGACGGAGGCCAAAGAGCTTTGAGGATGAGATTCTACAGCCTTCGAAGAATTTTGAGCGAATACAGATTCAGGGTGCTCGTGAAGTCGTAACAAACTGAGATGGTAAATATGGCGCAGTTACTTCACAAGAAAATCAAAGGCACATTTATCTACAGAGTCAAACCGAAGGCGGTGGATTCATTAGTAAAAAATTTTGCAAAATTCGGTTTAAACGGAGTTTACTTGGTAAATTCGATTTATCGAGGTGAAATCACCATGATTGGTTTTACCCTATTCTCGGTTTATCAGGGTAATTACTTCGGTGTAACGGGGTTCTAATTAACGGGTTTATCACAATCCATTTCCTACATCCACTATCACAAAAAATTTTATAAACATTTTATATCGCATTTTTCGGCTACATTCCATTGTACTATACATTATTATCACATGATTATGAACCTCAATTCCTAGCAGTTTCTTGACTGAATTTCATTGAAATGAAAGCTTCAGAAACTCGATGGGCATCTAAAAATTATAAAACATCGCATTTGGTTAAATTTTTTTACCAGAACATATTGCTCACGAAACTTTTATTTTTTCGAAATATATTCTCTCACAAAATTTATTTCAAAATTCAGAAACAAAATGTATTATCTACAAAAAACTATCTCAACTAGTTAAGCATCGATAATCTGTAATGAACATGAGTTGTTGTTTTTCATTAGAATTGAATTTTCTGTATATTACTGCTATCATTTTTTTTTTTGAAAAAAATTAGTAAAACTAATTAGAAATCGAATGATATATTTCAAATTTATTATACTATTTATTTTTTTTTAATTTTATTTTTACGTTTAAAACTTTTAATTAATATTTTAACTTGATTGTTTCTTAAGTAAATTTTCAATTAAATTACTATTTTAAGATTGATACTAAGAAAACAATAAATATTATAACTTTTAAATGTCTTTTTAATTTAATTTAATTTATAATTGTTAAAAAATTTTATTTTTGAAGAACCACAAGTCTATAGCTTAAGTGATAGAGTTCTATAATTTTCAAATAATGTTTTCTAGTTCAAATTTATCAGGGAATACATTAAAAATTAATAACCAAGTTATACAAGAATAAGACTTTTGATTTTCTATTAATTATTAGATTGAAACTAATCTATTATAAAAATTATATAAAGAACAATTTTTAATCTGATTGTACTAATTATATTTAATTTATTTCTTTTAAACTAGTTAAGAAACTAATTCTCAAATCTTACTTTTAAAACTGTTGTAATTGCATAATATATATTATTTTTAATAAAATTTTAATATAAAAAAATATTTATATATCAATATTAATAAAGATATCTCAATATAATATAGAATAAAAAATAAATAATTAAAAGACCTGTGAGTCAATAGCACAATAGTAGTGCTCCCAGGTCGCAATCACAAGATCTGTAGTTCAATACCACTTAAGGATCAAAATCAAAAATTATTCTTCTGATCAGGTTTTACCGGTTATCCTGTGAAAGTCGTATCCAATCATCCGGAACAAGTTCTAATCAGGTTAGGCTGCATGAAAATGGAACTTCTGACCTTTCATCAATCAGGGGCTAAGATCTACAGTCGTACTACTGAAAGGATTGCATGAAAAAGGTTTCTGGTCTAGCTTCCCACAAAAACATCTCAAGCCCACTCTGATTTGACAGCCTTCAGGACCCCGCTCTTCTAGCTCAGAATATCCCAATCTGATGTTCCGCTTAATTAAAAATCAGTCAATAGGGACTGGTCTGATGCCACAGGTGGTAACAAAGAAGAAAAGTGCCCCCTTCCGAGATCTAAGCGAATAATATATCTGAGAATATTGGAGGGTGTTATATATCCTGTTGGGTACACATAACTATAGACTAGCTTAATGAAACAATAAAAATTTGTAAGCTCAATACTAACTAGCCTAGACTAACCGTTGATAACTGTGTATTAACCATCCAGCCCCTAGCTAAGTCTATTCACTCACAGAGTGGTTACAGGTCTATCTAGGACAAACCGCAATAGGTTATCATTAAGCTGCATAGATATAGAAATATATGGTTTATAGAAGATGATTGATGTAATTGCTGTAGAATTTAATTATCCATTAAATTAAGTTAATTCTTAAATAAAGCTTGCATCTAATACCAGTTATGGTTCAATTAAAAAAAATAATAAAAATAAAAATAAATAATTAAAAAATAGATAAAGTTGTTTTCTTTAATGTTAAAAATAGTAAGAAAAGAATAATACTAATAATTTTAAGGTGATATGTAAAATCAAGTAAATAGAAAGAATGAAATCTTATTAGATTAATTAAACTTTTTACTAATTATATAACTTAACTTTTTTATTATAATATAATAAAAACTAAATTGAATCAAATTAAATAATTTAAACTAATAATAAAAAATTTTCTTATTATAGATCTTTTTAAACAAATAAACTATTTTATTTAAAGTTTAAAATAAATACATTATTAGATAAAATAAATAATAAAATAATATTAATTTATATATAATATTATATATAGAAATATTTTAAATTTTAATTTATTTTTTTTTAAGTGCTGGCATAATCATGCCATTTAACTTTTATTTATTCATTAATATTTCCTTTTCATAAATTTAATTGCAATGAAAAATACATTCATGAAAGTGAAAAGACCAATAGCTTAGTATTATAGCCAAAACTATAAATTCTGTAACTTACTATAGTCCACATTTGTAAATATTAATGTGTCATGACTCCACTAATACTAATTTTGAGTGTAAACAAGGTATTGAAAGAAAAACTATTGCTTAAGATATTGATTATACTTGAATTGATAGTTGAATGTACAAGTGTTTGAAGATTTGTGTGAAATGTTCATGACCTTAATTGTAGTTTTTATTAATTGTATCTGTTTGGTTATTACAAATAAGTAATTATACATATATATTATAGTAAATCTATTTTATATGAATAGCTGTATATATATTTAACTAATGCTATATATAATCGCTATTGACTCAAACTTCAAAGCTAGAAGACTGCATGATTCTGTCTTAATTATTCCTAGAATAATTTTTTATTAAGAGTATTTTAATTATCAGACTATCGAATTCAGTATCTTAGATCCCAGTTTTTGATCCTTCAAAATGATTCATGAATTTTTTCTTTTACTAAGGTCTCCTGATAATTAAGTTTGTGAAAGTCGACATAGTTACATATATGAGAATAAATCCTAAAAGGCATGCTACCAATTTGGGAGATCTACTCTTCTTCTTATTATTTTTAATTAATAATGTGATTATATCAATGATAATACTATTTGATTTCAAATCACAACCTGATCGCAATCTATATATATATCAGATGCTATATTAGAAACATCAGTTAATTTATAGTTATACCAATAGATAAGTTCTTTTTTTTTATCAAGCTGGTCTTGTATTTTATTGATGGAATTAAACCTGAGTCTTGTGATCTTGCCTTTTTATAAAATACTAACCACTATATTATTGATCTATCGGCTCTTGTTTTATTGTCATACTTGAATCACTGGATCATTATCATGAGATAAATAAGATATTTGTATCATCTGTAGCTTATTTTTCACTTGGTCCTTATATAGTATTGAACTTTGAATCTAGTGATTATAACTTGGGAGCATTATTATAGTGCTATGAACCCACAGATCATTTTGAGTTTTAATTAATTAATAAAGTTTATATATACTATATATACTATATTTTATTTTTTTTTAAAAAAAATTATTTTTAAATTATATTTTATGAATTTATTTTTATTTATTTAATTAATTTATAATTGGATTATTATAATAAATTTTTATTAGAATATTAAATAAATATTTATAATATTAAATTAATTTTTATACAATAATTAACTTATTTTTTAAAAAAAATCTCTTTCTATTAATTTTTCTTTTTTTAAAAAATTTTTTTTTTTAATAATTTTCTCGAAAAAGATGAATTAGTTTAAATATACAAGGAAAAACAAATATTCTTTAAACTAAACTATCAAATATTTTTAACACATATATAACAAGCTATCCAAAAACATCCAGGAAAGAGATATACACTACTTTATTAATTTTCTTTTATTTCTTTTCTTAAAAATTTTTTAGAAAAAATAAAAGAGACCTGTAAACTGATTCACAGTTAGAAAAAGAGAGTCAATATTAACTTCACACAGTTCACAGTCAGGTCAGTACAGATTAATACCTTTCTTAACACTATAAGAAATTCAAAAAATAATTAAGTTTACTTGATAAATTAAGTTGCTTCAGTTATTTAAAAGTTTAGAAGAACATCAAAGCTCTCTAAAGACAAGACAGTTTAAATATACATACATACATAAACAACATATCGATCCTTTATCTTGTCACATAAATATGAATATATAAAAAGCAGACAAGCAAAACAAGTATATATATAAAAGTAACAATCAAAATACATACATACACATATAACTTGTCATCTAAACAAGTTGATAAATACTCTATATAAATATAATAACAACTTTTAAAATTAGAATAGAATTATTAACATAAATAAATAAATATACTAAAATAATAAACAAAGTTTTTCTGTATTATCTAATCAAAATATATAAATAATAACAATCTCAGAAAGATTTATTCGTAATCTCAAAATAGATCAAAGATAAATATAAATAAGCATTCATATAATTTATAAATAGATTTGAGCCATTAAATATGAATAGAATATAATGTATGTTACAAATAGTCAGCAAGAAAAAAGAGGATATAGTAAATACTCTAATCAACTTTTCAAGAAAATATGACAAACACTCTACTCTATAGGCCTTATAACAATTACTATAACAAAGAAATAGTGAATCCAATAGATCAATAATCTTATCATTAGAAATATATACTATCTTAGACAACATTATAGCTAAGATATTGAAAGTTGATATGACAACTTTTCACAAGAAATAAATTCTAACTTAGCATATTACATATGTATCTTTGGCAATATGATAAAGGAATAAAAAAAGATTTTCTATAACTTTATATCGAAGACAAGTTTATGGAAATTATCAAGAACCCTTAAAACCAT